CAGGCCAACCCTGTCACAATGATGACAAATCAGGGTGAGATGTTTTGTGCTCAATGCAAGAAGAGTCTTAAGCTTGACGAAGAGAAGTCGATATGTCCATCTAGGGAGCAGGTGGTGTCCATGATGTCACATCAACCCAAAGCCACACATGTTTATAACAAACATGATAATATGGCTAAATATGGACAAGGGGGCATGCCACCAATCACAAGCAATGGACATGGGGCAAGTCCAACAAGGAAAGATGCGGGAAAAACAGAAAGGGTTGTCGAGGTATTGCGAATTTGGCTAATTCTAGACAAGTGAGCATGTCCCCCACCATGAAGAATGGAGTAGGGCATCTCAAAGAAGACACAACAACTCAAACCCGCATATGAATTTTATAAGCGTGAGATCATGGACAAGGGTGGACAAGGGGGCAAGTCCACACTACAACAATATTTGAATTTCATGACAAAATATATTTTTATCATTTTAATTTTTCCATAATAAAGTATCTAACTTGACACATTTCAAGTTTGTCATAATTTCAATGTCTATTTTGACAAACATCGATTTTGACATAAACGTTTGTCACATTAAGTACATATTATGACAAAATTATTATGTCGCTACCATTTTGTCAAAATATCGTTGGATGGAATGAAGATGGAGAGTATAAAATGAAAACATATTCATCACAATAATCTTTGTCACAATATTAGGAATCTATGGAGCGAAAGACGAAGGGGTCGTTTGGAGAACAGGATTCAGGACATGGATTCATTGAATCCGTAGATTTTGTAGAAAGTTATGTTTTTTGGTTACTTTTTGTATTGTGGATTCTAGCTTTAGAGATTTCAAATCTCTAAAATCTGCGGATATCAAATCTCTCATAATCAGAGAGATTCTATATCTTGATTCGTGAGATTTTTTCTCTCCTAATTTTTCTCTTCCTTTTATTTATTTATCACATGAAATATATTTATCAACAAAGTTTTTTTTATATTTCTCGAACCACTCTAATTTTTTATTAAGGATAAACATATTATTTAATATAAAATATTTTTTTTATTTTACTTGATTGTTAACAATCACAGTTACCAAACAATAAACATTTTAAAATCTGTTTTCAACAATCTGAAGAGTTAGAATCTTTAGATTGTTGATAATCTGTAGATTTAAACTCATATTCTCCAAACGACCCCGAAATGTGTTCGATTATGGATTGGCGGGACTTGTGGAGCGAAAGACGAAATGTTTGATTTGACAAAAAATGGAGTTGTCATAATATTTAAATTTGTATATCTATTATGACAAAATAATTCGGTCAAATAAACTTGTAAATATTAATGTAATACGATAAAGTTCATTATTTTAAGAGTTTTGAGCAAATTTTGGTTTGGCGGGAACTAGTCGTGAGAAATATAATATGTATCATGTGACAAAATAAATGGTTTGTCACAATATATTCTAGTTGATATTTATGGCGACAAACGAACTTGTCGTATTAATTGATAAGAATTGCCCCATAGATCCTATATCGATCTATATGAAGAAGAAATCATGTAACGAAGGGGATTCTTATTTGTACAAATGCTACTTCGAACTTGGAACGAGCATGAAGAAATTAACGATACTTCTTTATCTTTTGAGTTGTTCTGCCGGACCGGTTGCTCAAGACCTACAAATTTAATATGACAAAAACCCTAAACCATGACAAAATCCTTGTTCCTCTGACTTGAATCATGATTTTCTGTCGTTAAGCGGAAATCATAGGGATCTCAATGTGATCATTTAGATGTAATTTTATATTCTGGTTCTATTAGAGAAGGTCTTGTATACCTTTCAATCCTTTCATACGTTGTATCCTCAGCAAGTATAGTGAAGCTGGTCTCTCCTCCCCGATGAAATAGTAAACACACATAGTATTTTTTTTTTTACAACAACACACATAGTGTTAGTGAACCAAATAAATTCATGTGTTCTTTAATTTTCTTACAACAACACACAATTAGTTATCCCTCAAAATATATATTTAGACCTCTTCCTAATCCTATGTCACAATGTGAGAGAGGGAATAAGTAGAAGGGAAAAAGACCAAGGGAACTTACATCCTCACCTCCACCCGGCCAATCAAAGCTACGAGCCCGGTTTTGATCAAAACACCAAGGGAACTAAGACTTACATCCTACCTAAATAACTTGAATTCAACCAAGGGAGTCGTCCTTACATATTCTTGGCACCTTGGATGAGCCACGAAGACTTTACACGGGCTCTAGCAGAGGCTTGGGTGAAGAGGGACGGGCTGCCACAACAACTCGACGTCCTAACCCAGGACCTGAAGGTGTAGAACCGCGATGTGTTTGGTCCCATCATTAAATGGAAGAAGAAACTCCTAGGCAAGCTCCGGAGCCTAGAATTTCTAAATGACCAAGTAGGTAACCAAGCTTCTCTCGCCGAGGAGGATCAGGTTCGGGCTGAGTTTAATGAGGTGCTTTGGTAGGAGCAACTCTTGTGGCTACAGAAATCTAGAGAGAGGAATACCCACTATTACCACTTAGCAACGATCAAAAGGAGGAAATTCAATAGGATAGTGGGCCTTTGGGATGACGAGGGGAACGAGATCCTCAGTGATTTGGCTCTAAAGAACCACGTCCGGGGCTTCTATAAAGAACTTTTCTCGGCAGAAGCAGGGCAAACCCCTATGTTGGTCACGCGGTTCGAGCGTATTACAGAGTTAGCTGCAGTCAACCTCGAACGTCAGTTGTTGGTGGAAGAGGTCTGGGGTGTTGTGCGAAGTATGGGGGGGACTAAAGGCCCCTAGAAAGGATGGCTACCCCCCTGTGTTCTTCCAAAAATGTTGGGGCATGGTCCGGGGGTCTTTTGCAAGTTTTGTGATTGACTGCTTTGAGCATCCTCAGAATATACGCCAGGTCAATGATACGCTTCTAGTCCTTATCCCAAAAAAAGAGAGCTCGGATTCGATCAAGTTGTTCCGTCCTATAGGGATATGCAACATGGTTTACAAATCGCTGGCCAAGTGCATTGTCAACAAGATTAAACCGTGGATGGAGCAACTGGCCCACCCCACCCAAACTAGCTTCATCCCGAGCTGTCATATCTCAGGTAACATCATCATTGTTTAGGAAGTCATAAAGGGCCTGATGGTTCTAAAGATCGATTTGGCCAAGGCTTATGATCGTCTCCGCTGGGACTTCCTTCTCAATACACTCCAGGAGGCGGGATTCCCGGAGAAGCTGGTGACAGTGATTATGTAGTGTGTCTCGTCCTCTACTCTTCAAGTGCTGTGGAATGGCGAGTGCACAGATCCGTTCTCCCTGTACAGAGGGCTTAGACAGGGCTGCCCTCTCTCACCGTATCTGTTCACCTTATGTTTGGAGTGGTTAAGTCATCTCATCGAGCAGGCTGTTGAGGAGGGAAGGTGGAAGCCGATCAGAATAAACCTGGGTGGTCCTCTTCTCTCACCTTTTCTTTGCTGATGATTTGATCCTGTTTTCAGAAGCGAGCCTAGCACAAGGTGAGGTCATTATGGACTGTCTGGAACAGTTTTGACAGGCTTCGGGCCAGCAGGTAAGCACAGAAAAATCTATAGTGTTTTTCTCAAGCAACACTAAGAGGCCGACCAGTTCAACCATTGCTCAACATCTCGGTATCCCTGCAACGCAAGACCTGGGGCGGTATCTGGGAGTCCCGGTCCTCCATGGGTGGATCAACAAAGGTACTTTCCAGTATATTTTGGATCGTCTGGATAATAAACTTGCAGGGTGGAAGGCAAAATCACTATGACCCTGGCGGGGCGTGTGACTCTAGCGACGTCGGTGCTTAGCTCTCTGCCCACATACGCGACGCAAACAACTCTGCTGCCAATCTCCATCTGCGACGAGATTGACAAGAGAATCTGGCGTTTCATCTGGGGTTCCACAGCCGAAGCCCGTAAGGTTCATCTAGTTCACTGGGAGGGCATTGTAAACCCAAGAAGGAGGGGGGTTTGGGTCTCAGGAAAGCGCATGAGTTAAACCTTGCTTTTCTAGCGAAACTTGCTTGGGGTTTTGTTAAAAAAACCTGACGAGCTATGGGTCAAAGTGCTGCAGGCAAAATATTTTAAATAGGTTAACGGGAGGATGCAGGCGAAATCAATGGCGAGAGCATCCAACCTATGGCGTGGCACTAGAAAGGCATGGCCGGTAATGACACTAGGCATGAGAATGAGCATCAGAGACGGGATGGACACAAGTTTTTGGACGGATAGATGGGTGGACTCGAGAGAGTTGCTCATCGACCATGCTTTAGACACGAGCCCCCCTCTGGAACCCCGCCCTCCCTGTGGCCCACTTCGCTAATGATGGTGATTGGAACGTACAACTCTTACGCTCACATTTGCCAGAGGAATTTGTTTTGCAGGTAATGGGCATTCAACCGCCGAGAGAAGGGGACGACGCTGACTCCCCGACTTGGGGACCGCAGCGGGACGGGCATTTCCGGGTCAAATCAGCGACCAGTTCATCAGTCAAGGCGACGATGCCAGGAACACTTTTGACTAGCGTTCCATTTGGCGGTCGAGAGGGCCGGCCCGAGTCACTCACTTTCTCTGGTTAGCAGCAAGGGAGCGCCTTCTCATCAACGCCGAACGTCACAGGAGACACTTATCCACCACGAACATCTGCCCCCAGTGCAAAGAGGCCCCTGAAACAGTCTTGCATGTGTTGCGCGACTGTGAGTTTTCCAGGTTAACTTGGATGCAGTTCATACAAATTTCTGACCACCAACGGTTTTCCAGACCCCATTTGCAGGATTGGATTCTCTATCATGTTCGCCAGGAGCTCACTAGCCTTGTGTTCGGCATTGTCTGCTGGTCCCTGTGGCAGACCAGGAATGATCGAGTCTTTGCAGGCAAGATCACGACCACAACAACCTTTATACAGCACGTTCGGCCATGGATTAATGAAGCGAGGAATGCCTTGGACAAAGACAGGCTCATTCACCAGCCTCATCTGCCCATGAGAACGGAGGTGGAGATCTCTTGGAAGCCGCCACCTCTAGAGTGGGTTACTCTCAACTCTGACGGCTCCGTTTATACTGATTTAGGCCATGCAGCTGCCGGTGGCCTGATTCAAGACCATACAGGATTCTGCCTTGCAGCGTACGCGATTAACCTGTGGAGTTGCTCTATCACCCGGGCTGAGTTGAGAGGTGCTGTAGAGGGGCTGCAGCTGGCATGGGACACAGGTTTCAGGCGTGGCAGAGTGGAGCTCGATTCTTTCTATGCGGTTCAGCTCTTCGGAAGCTTGGACTCGCCGGATCACCAGCAGGCATCCATTATCCATAGGAATGGCAATGGGGCAGGTCCGGGCCGGGTATCTCGATACCCATACCCGCCCCGTGGCAGGTCGGGTAATTATCATGCGCGCGTCGAGGCAGGTTGATCCAATGGGTATGTAATTTATGTGAAAATTTTGAAAAATATTCATTATTTTCATTAAAATACCAAGAAGTAAACCATAATATGATAAAATGTAGTTGAAGTATTGGAGAAATTGAGGTTTTCACTTATTTACAACTTTATTATAGATAAAATATGAGGTAATATGAGGAAAATTATAAGTAATTTGACTAAGATTACATGTAGTTTAGACAAGAACAGGTCGAGAATGGGGCGGGTCAGGGTAGGTCGGGTCGACGAGAGGTACCCATGCCCGCCCCGCCCCGCCTACGGGGCGGGTCGGACCTGCCCCAAAACAGGCCAAACAGGTCGGGTAAAACAGGTCAGGTCGAAATTGCCATCCCTAATTATCCAGAGATTCAGAGAGCTGCTCACTCATCAATGGGAAGTTGTTGTTTCCCATATTTATAGAGAAGGGAATAAGTGTGCCGATCATCTTGCTAGTCGAGGGCATCTGTTATCCCTTGGTTATCATTCCATCTCCTGTTCCGGCCCCACTTTGTGTAATTTCATTATGTACGATTGTTAGGGGCTCTCTGAACCCCGTTTGGTTCTGAATGAAGGCTGAGATGCACTGCATCCATTTATAAAAAAGAAATTCAAGTTATACATCAATCTCTTCTCTCTTCTACTCTCATCTCCATTGTGCCTTTCGGCATTAAAAGCCTCCATTTAATTCCCCCCTTCAGTCACTTCCCTCGCTCCTCTCCTCTCTCGCTAAGTCGTCGATTAAGGTGAGAACTCATCATTTATTTTGCATTTATTTTGCTCTGTTTCCTCGTTTTCCCTGTGGGTTGAGCTTATTTGTCGTTGTATTTGTAGAAATTGCGATCAAGGGAGGTAAATCCAAGTTTGGTACCAAGAACACCAAGTGAGTTTTCCCTGCCCTTTTCTTTCGCTCGGTTTTGATTGAATTCGGTTTTCAACCCACTTCAGTAAAGGGTTTGAGAGGTTTCTTGGGACTTACTGGTTATTACCGTAAGTTTATAAAACACTATGGCACCATCAGTCGTCCACTTACAGAATTATTGAAGAAAAATGGTTTTCTTTGGTCGTCAGTAGGGATGGCAGTGAAACCCGGACCCGTGGGTACCCGGCCCGACCCAACCCGGCCAAAGCGGGTAAAACCCGTGTTGACCGGATTCGGGTCAGGTTCGGGTTGAAACCCGGTGTCCTCTTAGGCGGGTTGGGTTCGGGTTTAAACCCGCCCCGTGGATACCCGTTCAAAATCAATAACCCTAAATACCTAACATTTTCCAAATCCCCCCATCTCCCCGAAACAGAACCCCACCGCCCCTCTCATTCCATCCCTCTCTGAATCGCGCGATTGGTGAAACTCCACTCCACCTCCATCCTCTCGTCCCGACGGCCGCCGACCGCCATCACTCTGTTCGTCTCTGCCGCCATTCCCGACAGCACTCGGAGTCTCGGTGACTTCTTCTGGATCTAGCTGATTCTCTGAATTCGGGTGAGATTTTGAGAGGATGTATGGATCTGATAGAGAATAATTCTGCTCTCTAGTTTGGTGGACAGATCCACGTATTCTTTTGGGCTGGTGTGAAAAAAAAGCATAAGCTGAATTTCCCTTTCGTCTTACTTTTTTTCAAGCTATTTTGTCTTTCTGATAGGAGAGGTCCATGATGATTGCAAACCGCTGTTAGTTTTATGTGAAATACATGTATACATGAGCCTATGAACATGTAAGGATTAATTATTAAACTCCCCCACGTCGCAAATTTATGGAAATCAGTAGGAATTTGTTATTGTGGTGAAGGTTCTAATTCTATGTTTGAATACATATACATATTTGGAGGTTGATCTTTGATTTTTATTTTGATAGTTTCTTGTTAATTGTTATTGTAAATATTTACTACAAAAACCCATGGGTACCCATGAACCCGCGGATACCCGACGGGTTGGGTTGTGTTTGAGTTTTTCAAACCTGTCGGGTTTTACCCCGGGTTTTTTTTACGGACAAACCCATGGGTTTGGGTTTGGCAAAATCCGCCCCAACCCGACCCATTGCCATCCCCAGTCGTCAGCAGCTGAAGAAGCCTTTTTAGCTCTCAAAGCAGCTATGAGCCAAGCCCCAGTTCTCGGTCTCCCTGACTTCACTCAGTCCTTCACTCTGGAAACTGATGCTAGTGGTTCTGGTGTGGGGGCTGTTCTTTCCCAAGGGGGCAGACCTCTAGCATTCTTCAGCAAGGCCCTTAGTCTCCAGAATCAAGGACTCGGCACTTACGAAAAAGAGTATTTGGTTGTCTTGTTAGCTGTGGATCATTGGCGACATTACTTAGAAGGGCGCCAGTTTACAATTGTGAGAGATCACGAGAGCTGGAAGTTCTTATTAGGGCAGAAAGTTCATACGGCTATTCAGAAAAAAAGTTTGGTTAAGTTGCTGGGTCTGGATTTTCAGATCAAATACAGGAAGGGTAGATACAACGGCGCTGCCGATGCCCTTTCGCGCGTGTTTGATGAGCAGATTGAAGTCAGTACTTGTAATGCTCTGACTTCTGTTCTACCAGAATGGCTAGTGTAGATTGAGCAGTCCTATGCTCATGACACCGAGGTGAGTGATTGGATAGCAGCTGCATCAGTAAACACAGCAGGTCCTTCTTTATGGACTTACTCAGAGGGTGTACTTCGTTATAAGGGTGCCATAGTGGTAGGTTCGACAGGGTACTTGCGCACTAAGCTACTTCAACTCTTTCATTCATCCCTGCGGGAGGACATTCAGGGGCGCATGGCACTTAACAGCGTCTCAAATCGTGCTTCTATTGGCGCGCGATGAAAACGGCAGTCACCCAGTGGGTTTCACAGTGTGAAGTCTGTCAACGATGTAAAGCAGAGACCGTGGCCTCACCTGGGTTTCTCCAGCCACTCCCCATTCCTACTCGTGCTTGGCGAGACATCAGCATGGATTTTGTTGAAGGTCTTCCCATGTCCAAAGGAAAGCAAGTACTCTTGGTAGTGGTGGACAGATTTACGAAATCAGCTCATTTCTGTGCTCTCTCTCATCCATACACAGCGGCAGAATTGGATCTTCTCTTATTCGATGGTGTTTTCAAACTCCATGGCATGCCTTCTACGATTGTATGTGATCGAGACTCCACTTTTACTAGCATGTTTTGGACTGAGTTCTTCCGACTTCAGCATATAGACATCGATTACACCACAGCGTACCACCCTCAAACTGATGGACAGACAGAACGGGTTAATCGCTGTTACAACACCCACTTTCACATCAGCCTGCAGATGTCTCCCTTCGAGGCTCTTTACAGGTTTCCTCCTTCTTTCTTTGGCTTGGGAGCTGTTTTACCAACTTCTGTGGGAGCCGTGGAAGACAGAGTCAGCAAGCAGCATCTGTTGACTCAACTGCTCACCTACAACATTACTAAAGCTCAGAACCGGCAGGAACAGTACGCTGATCGGAGGCGGTCTAAACGAGTACTCCAGGTGGGTGATTGGGCGTATCTGCGTTTGCAACCGTATCGTCAAGGCTCATTGGTGGGGAGGCAAGGAAACAAGTTGGATGCGAGGTATTTTCGACCATATAAGGTGATTGCTAAGGTTGGTGCAGTGGCCTACAAATTAGCCTTGCCTGCTGCTTCGAAGATCCATCCCGTATTTCACGTGTCCCAGCTTAAGCTTTGCCGGACTGTGGTTCCACCAGCCGCGACGCAGCTTCCTGATGCTGATCAAAATGGGGCTTTGAAGTTGGGCCCGACTCATATCTTGGCCAGGCGGTTTGTCCAACAAGATAATCGAGCTGTAACATAGGTATTAGTCCAGTGGACTCATCAACTTCCCGAAGATGCAACTTGGGAAGGCTTGGGCAGCTTCAAATAGAGTTTTCCTGCGTTTCTAGCTTGAGCACAAGCTGCTCTTGAAGGGAAGGGGTTTGTAACAGCCCAGAAAAGCCAGCTGGCAGATGACGTGGAGGCTAGTGACGTGGAAAGGGATCAAGCATATAAATAGTGGAAGTCAATTGTGTTTAGTCATCTTTGGGCAATTCTGTTATCTGTAGCTACATTACCAACTTAGATAGCTATCAATACACGACTCTTCCCCTTCTTCTTCTCTTTTCCTTTCCTTTCATCCCCATTTCGCCAGATTCCGCCATAGACGATCCTTACACATGGATCGTAGATCGAGTTTGTTGAGCTGAAGGTTGTGTTTGTTTTTTGGTTGTGCTGGTTCAGGTTGTTGATTGGGTTTTAGGGTTTATGTGTTAATCTTTTGAATTGGAAAATTAATTACCGAGTATTTCATTTTTTTTTGTGTTTTGATTCATTTTCGTTTTGGATGGTTGACTATTTGGTGTGCGTTAGGGTTTCCCTGTAATTATTTTCTTTAATGAATATAGGGAGGACCAGAAAAGGAATTAGTCGCAGCTGTAAGTGGATGCTATTTATTGCTCTTTGCTTGACCTTAAATTGCTAGTTTTGTTGATGAGTTTATATTGCTTGATATGGATATAATCTCAAATTGGAAAAGTTGATGGAGATAGCAAAAAGTAGTACTTATATCACTCTTATGGAAAAAAAATGGTGGCTTTGATCGATGTTATGCGGTCGTTTAGTGGCGATTATGGTTTGCTTGTGTTGGTTGGATGCATTGTGTTGATCATGGGTTATTGACGTATCGCTGATTTTAATAAGTTTATTTAAGTCCCTTTGCGTTGGTCATTTATATAGTTCTTGATTATCTCATTGAAATTCATTAATTTGTGGTGGTTTGGCAGGAGGATGATGATGAGTAGCGGATGATGAGAGAAGAATAGAGATTTAGTAATGTAGCCTACATATACATTCTCCATTTGTCATAATCAATTATTTTTTGTTTGTTAATATTTTGTTTTGCTGGTTTACAAGCTAATTCATTTTCTTACTAGATGATTCTTGTCATCTATTGTTGTTGTCTAAGAAATATATGGAAGTGTTGATTGACCTGGATGACTCCACGATTTTTTGCTAGAGGAAGGACGATGGTGGCATGTGTCATGGTCTTTCAAAGCTTTTTGTTGTTTGTAGAACGTCCCTTTTAAGATTAACTTGTTGTATGGTTGTCATTTAAAATGAGAATAGATGGAGGCAATGTGAAGACTTGAATGTCATGTTACTCTTAAGAATTGTCATTTAAGGATTATGACCGAGATTAATAGATATCATGTGTTGCCTTCAATATTCGTGATATCGTGTTGTTTATAAAAATTTCATATCAGTGACAAAACTAGCCTATCATATTGTGACAAGGTTTTGCCATAAAATATACAGACTATTCCTAAATATAAGTATGACAATAACGGTTTCTCATCACTAAGTTATTTCAACAAAAATAAATTTGACACAAGAACCCCTTGTTATATATTATGAAAAAATATTATAACAAAATTATTTGTCACTACAACATATCAAAATTTGTAACTATCATGTCAAAATTTGATTCTATTATGACAAAATATCTTATTTTTTAGACAAAACATTTTCTCAAAATAAGGGCCTTATAGTGATAACATTTGACCTTCATACCATTGAAACCTATTGTTACAAGACGTTAAAATTTTGTCATAATAAAGTTATTTCGACGAGGTAGTTTTCACGAATGTTATGACAAAAAATTTAGTCATAACAAATTTATTATGACGAAAATTTTAGTGCCTTTTGAGGTTTCAGCACCTTCATCTTCTGGAAGGAAATATGTTCTTGCTAATAGTAGTTGTCAAGTAGATGTGGTTTCTTGGGTCATAGATAGTGGGGCTTCTGATCATGCCATATCTAGGCTAGAATATTTTAGTGCCTATTGTGCTGTTAGTGGTATAAACGTTTCACTTCCTAATGGTGCAAAGGTACAAGTCACACATATTGGTATTGTTGTCTTGTTTGATTCATTAGAACTTATGAATGTTCTTTGATTCCTTTGTTTGGTTTCAATTTAATTTGCGTAAGCAAATTAACAAGGATACAACTTGTTTACTTTCTTGACATTTTTTTCATAATCATTGTGTTATTTAGGATTTGGTCTCCCGCAAAATGATTGGTAAAACTAGAGAGTCTGGTGGGCTTTACTACTTCACAACTAATTGAACAGACCTGCCTATTTTCCTGGCCCAATAACTACCCCTACACTAGAATCCAAGTTGTTTTCTGTTGTTTTTTATTCTACTATACATGACATTGATATTTGCCATTACCGGCTTGGACATGTTTCGTGCAATCCGTTGCAAACTATTATGTCTAAGAATAGTAGTGTTACTTCTGTCAAACATAAGCATTGTTCTGTTTGATTTGGTTCTCATGCTACTATAATGTTTGATTTGGTTCACATTGACATATGGGGTCCATATCGTGTTACTTCTTTAGATGGTTATCGATACTTTCTAACTATCGCTGATGATTTCTCACTAAATACTTGGCTTTATTTGATGCATAAGAAGCCCGAAGCAAGTAATTTGTTGGGTTTTTTTATTAACTATGTGCAAACTCAATATAATCTCAAACCTAAGGTTGTTCGATCTAACAATGGACTTGAGTTTCACATGCCTTCCTTTTATAGTTCTTTAGGAATAGTACATCGAACCTCATGTGTTGCATTTTCCCAACAAAATGGTCAGGTGGAGTGCAAGCAGCAGCACTTAATTGTTGTTGCTCGTGCTCTGTTATTTTAGTCTTTTCTTCCTTCAAAATTCTGGAGTCATGTTGTTTTACATGCTACATTCTTAATAAATCGTTTACCAAGTTCTGTCTTAGACAAATAAGTTGCCATATGGTATGAGTTATTACATCAGTTAGTTCCTGATTATTCAAGTTTACGTGTATTTGGTTGTTTGGTTTACATGTCTACTTTGACACACAATAGACCAAAGTTTGAACCTAGAGTTCAACCTTGCATATTTCTTGGATTTCCATTTGCCACTAAAGGTTGTAAACTGCACAATCTAGTTAGTGAGTCTTTGTGTGAGTCTCGTGATGTAGTATTTTATGCAAATATTTTCCCCTTCTTTTCCAAAGATTTTTCTCTTGAGTCTTCTTATTTTTTTTCCAATAATTTATGTTTCATCAATGGATGGTATTACATCTCATGATGTTAGTGCCAATCCAGATTCCTCTATCGTTTCGGCACCCGACCTACATTATTTATCTACTTTTTCTTCTTCCTCTGTTTCAAATCATAATGATGATGGAGTTGCTCCTCCTGAACATCCTCCATTATTTGATGATGAACAAGAGTCTCTACCTCCTAGAAAGAGGCGACCACCACTAGATTATGTTTGTAATTCTGTGTTTGATTTGGCTGTTTCTTATCCATTATCATCCGTTTTATCTACCAACAGATTTGCTAACCATCATTCCAAGTTTGTTTTAGCTGTGTCTGCTGTTGTAGAACCTAAAACATACAAGGAAGCTTCTCAAGATGAGAAGTGGAATGCATCTATTGATTTGGAAATAGATGCTCTTCTTCGAACCAACAAACATTCACAGTTGTACTGAAGTCACCAAATATTAAGCCCATTAGTTTTAAGATCAAAGATCTAGACAATCTTAAATACTTTTTAGGTCTCGAAATAGCTAGAAATAAAATTGAAATTTCTATTTGCCAGCGTAAGTATGTCCTAGATTTGTTAAATGATTCTGGTTTGCTTGGAGCCAAACATGTGGCAACTCCTTGCAATCTAGGAATAAGGATTACGATTAAATAAGGTACTCTTCTAGATGATTCCTCTGTCTATCGAAGGTTAGTTGGGTGTTTATTGTACTTGTGCAACACTCGTCCTGATATTGCTTTTGCCGTCCATCAGTTGACACAATTTATGAGTGCCCCAACTGATATTCATACGACGCCTGCTCATCGTGTTTTACATTACCGAAAAGGTCTCCTAGACTTGGTTTATTTTTTCCTTCACACACTAATATGTGTCTTAAAGCATTTTGTGACAGTGACAGGGCAGGTTGGCCCGATTCCCGGAGATCTACAACTGGGTTTTGCATATTCTTGGGTGCTTCTTTGATATCATGGTGCTTCAAGAAGAAGCAGACAATTTCTCGCTCATCAACCGGGGCTGAGTATCAAGCCGTGGCTGATCTTACATGCGAAATTCAGTGGCTTAACTACATTTTTGAAGATTTAGGACTTTCGTTTACTAAGCCTACTGGCATGTTTTTGATAGTTAATTTTCAATTAGAATAGCCGAGAATTGAGTTGCTCATGAGCGTACTAAGCACATTGAGTTAGATTGTCATTTAACATGGGATAAGATTGCTTCTGGTTTGAATAAATTACTACATGTTTCTACTTCTAATCAGGTTGCTGATGTGTTCACAAAATCGTTGCCTACTGCTATGTTTGCAGGACTTGTTTTCATGCTGGGCACTTTGGATACACATGCTCCAGCTTGAGGGAGGGTGTTAATATATAGAGTAGTTGTAGGATACAGATTGTAATATTTGTTCAATTAATTTATGTACGGTATTGTAATTTAGTTTTATAGAACTTATATAAATATTGTAAACAGTAAATTTGCTTTTGTTGGAATAAAATTAGAATCGTTTTCTCTCTCTCTAGTAACAAAATTAAAAGCTACATATTTTTTATTGATACATAATTAAGCACAATGATAATGAAGTCAATTTATTCATAGTGCAATCATTATTTATCTTGAGTACTTAGGCATCCAAGTGTCATGAAACTAACATTTCACAACTTTTTGCGGCGCCAGCCAAGAAAGCAAACGGAAAACTGAAATGAAAAAGCAGAACAACAACAACTTTTAACTTAACTAAATGACCCAAGCACAACTAGCTAGCTGATGAGGTAGCTATCGCTATAAGGACATTTGACTTCACCATCTTTCTGCTGGTTCATCGATCGCTTAATTAATAGCAAATGTAGCCGGGAGTAACTGGGTAGTGACATTCGTTGAGAAGCAGGGTGAGAGCTAAGTTGACGTTGACAAGTGGTCCGAGCCCAAGAACATCTGTAATCTTGAGGGCATCACAGAGACAAACCTTAACGTCGGCGTTGAGACCAACCAAGCCATCGATAAGGCTGCAGCAGGGCTGAGTGATTGGCTGGGTTCCAGCCCTTAAGTTCACAAGGTATTTCAACAGGTCAGCGCAAACGCCTACACTGGCCGGAAGCTCACCACATGTCGTCACCGCCGTGGCTGAGTAGGAGAACATGAAGAGGTTGAGGGTCAGGAAGAGAGCAAGGGCTGCTTTGGAAGAAAAGAAGCCATTGTTGAGATGAAGGGGGAAAATGCAAGTAGCTAGGGTTTTGAGATCGAGGTATTAAGATAGGGATATTGGTGTGGGTTTGGGAGACGCCCATGGAGGGTATTTATAGAGAGCTGGGTGATTTTTTTGAAGGGAGAAATTGCCTGGAAGCTAGGGCCTAGGATGTGTTTGTTTATCATGCATGTGTTGAGTACTTTGGGATTTGGTTCAGCTGTTTCTTCTTCTCCACAGTAACAGTAGACCCATCCATGCATAGAAATTAGGGTTTAGTGATTAATGCCATGTTACGTACCCACAGGCTTTGCCCGGATCAGAAAACCCTAATTAAACTGTAATTTTCTTGTCGTCTTCCTCTGTTGAGATGATATTTATAATCCCTTTCGTGAGGGCTTGTGCTTCACGAGCTTAATTTCTATTTATTTAAGATATATAGCATACATTTGTCGACTTGCAAATACGCTTTGATGATATTATATGCAGGACAGTTCTCTCCTAACTTTCGTGCATTTTTTCATATACGGTAAGTGATGAGTTTTACATTTCCCCATCTCTACTTATGGCTAATTGGTTAATTGGTTTGGAGTGTATAAAACCAAACTATTTAAACCAAATAAATTAAAATTTTAACATAATCAAACCAATTATGAAATTAACTAAACACTATTACTTTTACACTATCATTTAAAATGGTTATCATGGTAATCCTCTAAATTTTGATGCGCAAAATTGCTTTGAAGGGATGTGTATCAAAGATGTGTAGAGTACTTTGGGATATGGACGTAATTAATATACTTTTTTTTTTTTTTTTTTGATTAATGCCATGTTACCCTCACGCTTTGCCCGGAACAGAAACCCTAAACTGTCTTTCCTTGTGGTCTTCCTCTGGCGAGATAATATTTATAATCTCTTTCATGAGGGCTTGCGCTTCACGAGCTTAATTTCCATTTATTTAAGATATATAAAACATGCATTCGTCGACTTCCAGCGAACTTCTTTCGGGAACTTGCAAATACCCTTTGATCATATATTATATGTATACGTAGCCCGTACTCCCACAGGAATACAGGATGGACAGTTGTATGATTCTCATTTGAAAGGGCTAGCGGAGATTGGAGATCAATTGTACGGAGTATCATACAAAGGTATATTTTAGCTACAGTTATTCAGCTAGGATCAAAGTACGAGGGCCACCGACGTAAACAGTGGGGCGTGAATATGAGAGTTCGATTTCTGCAATATATATCTAGCTAGACCATATTTTCCTCCTTTGTTTATTTCACTCTTTTTGCTATGGATGATATTCGGTTAGTCGATATTATCGGTTAAACTTTTTAACGTAATCATTAACTGTTATCGTCAACCGATTATAAATTAGCGGTGCGTTTATTGGTAGGTTGAAATGACTTCTAGTGTAACCAACAATTGTATAGCTAGTTAACGGTTAACCAACTAATCGTGTATAAATATCTATATTTCTCTCCCCATAAAAACACATCCCTCCCAAACAAACACTTGAACTTCAAACAAACAATCTCCTCTCGTCCACGACAATTGATAGAAACAAAGTTTCTATCGGGATTGAAAATTCGGGATTAGGGTTATACGAATAGAATTAGTGATTGAGATTGGGATTTGAGAGAATAGGGAGAGATTAGGGTTTAGGAGGTTTTCTTTAATATTCTTCTTATTGATTATGATTTGAACTCAAAGTACATATATATAGGTAAAGACGGGAATAAATCGGATAAATAACCTACTACGACTGGAATACTACTAACCCTAACAATAATTTTCCTACCATAATTAATAATAGAAACCCACATGAATCGTGTTTCTATCATTTCCTCCCCCTTGAGACTAACCTTGCCCTCAAGGTTAATCGACTCGACCGCTTTCTTCACGCTTCTAGTGACTACTCGGCTTGGGCTTCTTGTGTTGACCTTCTTAAGCTGTTCCAACTCTTCGAACTTCAGTTCCATAGGCCCACTATTCGCTTCCTTGACAAATTCAAACCTCAATAACTCTTCTCTCATAGGTATGAGTCCATCAAGAACCTCGAACTCCATGTTAGTGTGCCATGCCGATCCGTACCTGTAATGCATTATTCGAAACTCTCTACTAGAGTTTATCTTTCTTAAAGATAGCCCATCAACTTCTTTAGTTGTCTATTCAATTTATCTTGGACCAAGATTCCTTGACAACCCACCATCTAAGACCATGAATTCATCTTCTTGTTCTTTCAAGCCCACTCCATGCAAAAGAGATTCAACTAAACAGCCCATGTGAAGCCCAAACCTTTAATGAGGAAGCAGCCCATCAGATCTTTGAAACTGGTTGGAGCCTGTATTCATCCGCCCGTAGAACAGCCCTTGCACGACCCATTTCAATTTCAACTCTGGCCCACTCTTCTGTTCTACTCACTGCAAAGAGAGCCCATAAATCTCTTTCTTTCTAACCTGTCCATGACCGAAGCCCGTTCGTGCACGCCCACTCCACTAGGCCGGCGACACCCTGGCCCAACAGAAGCAAGAGTGACGACCCAGGGTTTGGAGACTGATAGCTTCGGCCTCCGCCCTCGTTTGCTTTGCTCGGCGGCGCCTCTTCTCCCTCATTTCTTCCTCCAGCGGAGACCACTTCTGCCAATGAGCGAGCGGCCAACCCGAACCCGCCGCCGTCTTCTGTTTTTTTTTTTTTTTTGGTAAAACTCGCCTCCATCTTCAGCCCTCTCTCCTTGTCGATCGACGCCATGGCGATGTTTTCTTAGCAGGGGTTTGACAAACCCTTGCTATCGTTTTCGAAAGTTCCTTAGTAGCGGTTTATTCCAAGGGCTAAAGAACCACTACAATAACAGGGCTTTCACGAGGGGGAAATGGGCCGAGGGGATGAAATACAGAGGCTGAATCGAGTGACTATGGGGTGCTTAGTCACTTGGCTAAGCCCCTCCCAACTCTTAGATTTGGACACATCAATCTGACGGTTAAAAAGTGGGAATGGCTTTTTAATTAATGCAGGGGTAGTTTGGGTATTATGGAAAATTAAGAAGTATACAAACTAGACTTAGAAACAATACAAACCATACAAACATACGAACAATACAAATTAGAGGGACAAAACATACAAACAGATTTACAAACAATACGAAACGTATCAACTACACAAACAATACAAACTAGACTGACAAACATTACAAACATACACTAACAGTACAAAATGCCACTACTTATATTACAAAACACTAAACCTGTATTACAAATCAATTAATACAAAGTATACAAATCACAATATAAAGTATACAAATCACAAAGTATATAAATTAGTCATATAAACAATACAAACATAATAGATACAAATGACAAACTAGAATGATAAACGATACAAGCTCGATTGATACGAAATCACAAAACATACTTACAAACATTACAAAATTATCTGGAAAATATAACAAAACAAACACTGTCTCCGAAAAATTTGCCGATGACAAAAATCATCTCTCTCTCTATCTGGGAATGGATCCCTGGAGGCACCTAAAATAAAATTGCGCACAAAAGGAACACAACACCAGAAAATCATGGTCGGCGGGGGACATTGCCGGCGCCGAGAAATTATGGTCGACGGAGAACAACGCTGGAAACGGAGGGGTGAGAGTAGGACCTGTCGGAGAGTTTTAAAATTATTTAGTAATTAAAAAATAAAAAGTTATGCAATTACTACATTGCCCTTCATTAAATTGAATTAATTGGAGCCATTAGATTTTAATTAATGAGTTTGAAGGGCTGAGATCGACTTAGGCAAGTCACTACGCGACCCCCCCCCCCCCCAGTCACCTGATCTTAGCCCATGAAATACAGACAATAAAAGCAGTATAATACACACCCATTAGAGCATCCGCATCGACTCTATTTTCCAATTGCATTCTGACGTGGATTAGAGTTTTGCAATTGCAAACTCTGTATCATTGATGTAGGGAGTGGTTTAATTATGCAAGCTTTCATAATACGAAAGTCAAATGGCAATGCCAACGTGGGTCTGGTCCCATTTTCCTTTCTTCTTTATGTCATTTAAAAAAAATTATTTGAGATGAGTTGTTTTTTAATATGCAATTACAAATTAATTGAATTGATGTATGACAATGAAATTCAAATGAGTTGAATTGCAAAAATTGATGAGTTTTCCATAGAAACCACATTGCAATTGACTTTGCAATTGCATTGATGTGAATGCTCTTAGTTTCACTGATAGGGATTTCTCCCTTGTTATTTGCGTATGTTTGCCATCGTTATTGAATAGGGAAAATTTCGCATTTCTATTCGGGCGGCCAATTTTTTTGATTTCCCTCTCTTTCCCTTTTGTTCCAATTTAGCCCTCGATCTGCTCTGCCCGTGGAAGAAGAAAAGAAAGAATCCCCACCGACAAATGCCCCGCATACTGCTGCCGCCCACCTCCTCTGCTGCCGCCACGAACCCGAGGTCGCCCACCTCTTTGTCTCCCTCCAAATAGACACCCAAGGGATTTTCCCGGAAACCAAACAGGAAGAGCAAGAAGAATGGAAATCCAGAAAGTGATGGGAACGCCCTAGCCCTTGATTTGCTCCACCAGTGGAAGACGAAAATAAAGAAAAATCCCCGTGGACCACTGCGCCCCCGCCTACTGCTCCCGCTGCGAACTCGAGGAGGAAGAAGTGATATGATGCCGCCCACCTCCTCTGCCGTCGCACTGACGCTGCCGCGACCTCGTGGTCGCACACTGCTTCGTCTCCCTCCAAATAATCAGATGGAGATACTTAAGGGATTTTCTCGAAAACCAAACAGGAATAGCGAGCAGAATTGAATGCCAGAAAGTGATGGGAATTGAAGCTTGATCGAGAAGCCTATCTGCTGAGAAGGGGAATAGAAGGTAGTTGCGGCTGCGAACAACAGCGACTCTCATGGAAAACGGAGGCGATGGGG